CTACCACTTGCTCGACTTGGGGAAACCTCACTACTCCATCCGCTGCATGACTGTGGTGCACGACAAGGTGTGGTGTGGTTTCAGAAATAAGATATATGTGGTGCAGCCCAAAGCTATGAAGATTGAGGTAAAGTAACATTCATGTTCCATTTCTGGTTATTGAATGTTTTCAAACTATGGGAGTGAAAAGAATTTCTTTCATCATGTTTTCACATTGCCTGCATTGGCTGTTTTGTTTGAACAGAATTTTTAACCTCTGGTTAATGAATTTTGACAGAAAAGAATGAACTTTCTCTCATCCATAATACATTCATGTTGCTAATTATTTTAAGAGAGCACACACATTACTGTATTTATTTGTAGTCACCCCCGAGTAGAAGCTGTCAGTCAAAAAATATATTATGGAAAAGAAAATTCCATTCCCTAATTTTGTTGTCGGCAGCGAATAAATTTTGTTTGGATTTGAAACTTCTGTTTCTAATGACAAAAAATGTTCTTTTTACTCTGCGCCCGATTATGGATGTAAATTTGACCCCGCAGAAGTCATTTGATGCACACCCCCGTAAGGAGAGCCAGGTGCGTCAGTTGGCATGGGATGGTGACGGCATTTGGGTATCTATCAGGCTGGACTCCACCCTCAGGCTCTTCCACGCCCACACTTTCCAGCACCTACAGGACGTGGACATTGAGCCTTATGTCAGCAAGATGTTGGGTTGGTTCATTGTCTTCAGTGTATTATGGAGCCACCATTGCACACAGGTTTCTGGGAAGGTCAGGGTTGTAATGTATTACAATGATTTACACACTTTTTCAGGTACGGGGAAACTGGGCTTCTCATTTGTGCGCATCACGGCTCTAATGGTGTCATGTAACCGTCTGTGGATTGGTACTGGAAACGGAGTCATCATTTCGATCCCTCTCGTAGAGAGTGAGTATTGAATTGAATCTGTAATCAATTAGTGTTTTTGTGGATACGTTGACTTTATCATCTGTAAACCAACTCAGATTTTTTTAGACCGATAAATGGATAGCTGATAGATGGGAGGAGTTAAGTAAGGCTATGCAAAATGACTTCTGGACGGCTTTGAGGAAATTCAGGGTTCCCAATCTTTGCTTGAAATTATTTTGCAGAACTTTTCCGGGACTTCTGCAGGACTATTTCATCTGTCACAGAATGAGTCATGTTATCACAACATACACTAAGAAATTCGAGCCCAAAATTTGGACAAATGTTATTTTCTACAATTGTACATTTAACCAGATTGTTTCAATGTTATACACTAAAATACATCTTTATTTATTTTACACTTTCACAACAGCTGCGGCAGTAACAAAGCACTTTATAGAAGAGGTAATTTTAAAATGACAAAATACTCATAACACATAATAAATACACATGAATACACATAAGACGTGGACAGTCATGCATTCGGAACCACTATTCCTGCATATACTTTGTTGTTTGAAGCAGTTCTGAATGAAAGAGGAAGAATCAAAGTGTCCTTTCACCAGTCGATCAGAGACGTCATGCTGAAAATGTGCACACGTCTGCTACAAGCAAAGTCTGAAAGTAAACAAGAAGCTGTAGCGTCCATTGACGAAAAAAGAGATCGGTTCGCTTCACTTCTCCCATCCCATGTAAAATCCGCTTCAATTCCAAGCGG